AAAGTATTGGAAAAACTAATCAAAACTAAATGGGTAGAACACCTGGAGAGAAATGATATAATATCAGACAGACAGTATGGTTTTCGATCTGGAAGATCCTGTGTATCGAATTTACTCAGTTTCTATGATCGAGCCACAGAGATATTACAGGAAAGAGATGGTTGGGTTGACTGCATCTATCTGGACCTAAAAAAGGCTTTCGACAGAGTTCCACATAAGAGGTTGTTCTGGAAACTGGAAAATATTGGAGGGGTGACAGGTAAGCTTCTAACATGGATGAAAAATTTTCTGACTGATAGAAAAATGAGGGCAGTAATCAGAGGCAATGTATCGGAATGGAGAAATGTCACAAGTGGAGTACCACAGGGTTCAGTTCTTGCACCAGTGATGTTTATTGTCTACATAAATGATCTACCAGTTGGTATACAGAATTATATGAACATGTTTGCTGATGATGCTAAGATAATAGGAAGGATAAGAAATTTAGATGACTGTCATGCCCTTCAAGAAGACCTGGACAAAATAAGTATATGGAGCACCACTTGGCAAATGGAATTTAATGTTAATAAATGTCATGTTATGGAATGTGGAATAGGAGAACATAGACCCCACACAACCTATATATTATGTGAGAAATCTTTAAAGAATTCTGATAAAGAAAGAGATCTAGGAGTGGTTCTAGATAGAAAACTATCACCAGAGGACCACATAAAGAATATTGTGCAAGGAGCCTATGCAATGCTTTCTAACTTCAGAATTGCATTTAAATACATGGATGGCGATATACTAAAGAAATTGTTCATGACTTTTGTTAGGCCAAAGCTAGAATATGCAGCTGTTGTATGGTGCCCATATCTTAAGAAGCACATCAACAAACTGGAAAAGGTGCAAAGACATGCTACTAAGTGGCTCCCAGAACTGAAGGGCAAGAGCTACGAGGAGAGGTTAGAAGCATTAAATATGCCAAAACTAGAAGACAGAAGAAAAAGAGGTGATATGATCACTACATACAAAATAGTAACAGGAATTGATAAAATCGACAGGGAAGATTTCCTGAGACCTGGCACTTCAAGAACAAGAGGTCATAGATTTAAACTAGCTAAACACAGATGCCGAAGAAATATAAGAAAATTCACCTTCGCAAATAGAGTGGTAGACGGTTGGAACAAGTTAAGTGAGAAGGTGGTGGAGGCCAAGACCGTCAGTAGTTTCAAAGCGTTATATGACAAAGAGTGCTGGGAAGACGGGACACCACGAGCGTAGCTCTCATCCTGTAACTACACTTAGGTAATTACACTAAATAAATACGCATCCTTAACCCTTAAATTGCACATCGCATCATGTCATGCTTTGACCGACTTGCAGTAAATTGCGCATCGCATCATATGATGCTTTGGAGTACTACGCAAGATTTAAACGGCCCGCGGATAAACGGGGTTCACCACACCTTCATCAGGGCTCTTGTAAACAGACGCCATTTTAAAAAAAAATCGTGGGCCAAATTCCCGGGTGTTAGGGGCCTCAGTATTGAGTGAGCTACCAAGCCTGACGCACGCAGCATGACCTCACAGCACTGCTGTTCAGCTTGTGACCACAACATCGCCTAAAAATGCCATAACATACTTGCTCATGCTAATAACACCACATTATATAGCGTAATAACACCACAAACAGTATTTTTGGAGGAGAAATATTAGTGCGTCTGGCCTTGAGGGCGGCAGCCAGCTGTGTGGGAGTAGCTACGTCTTTGTGCCTTTACTTACCATACAAGCTTAGATGTACAGTTATGGTGAACAAAACATGTAAATACTTATATATAACATCTGTATATAAAAGCAAAAACAGTATGGTGGGAGGAGAATGGTGGCAAGTCAGGTGAGGTGAGGTAGGGAGGGAGTGGCAACCAGTGGCGGGCTGCCACTGGCTGCCACTGCCACTCAGCATGCCAACTTAGTGGTTTGTTATGGTGAACACGAATGTAGACACTTATATATAGCGTCTGTATATAGTGAATAAAAGCAAAAACAGTATTGTGGGAGGAGAATGTGGGCGAGTCAGGTGACTTGAGGGAGGGAGTGAGTGGCTGGCTAGTACACGGCAGTCACTCCTCGTTACTGTTTGACTCACAATAGCAACTTAGTGGTTCATTATGGTGAACAAAATATGCAGATACTTATATATAACCTGTGTATATAGTGTAATAACCGACAAAGTATTTGTTCACTGTTTGATGAACATAATTGAATCAACAATATGGACACCATATTTTTGAGTACAGCGATGATTCACTCATTTTATTATGTAAATATATCACACTACACACTATTGAATAATATTACAGCAAAAAAAAACTACGAAAAATCAATCAGAGACATTGAAATAATTAGGTAATTATCTCTTTGTGGCAACTCCGGCCTGACAGCTGGCGAGCAACAGACCGCCTAGGACGCACGCTGAGTCAGCGCCTGTGTTTTACCAAACTTCCCCACCCTATAGCAGGCAATATATGCCACTTACAATTTTTTTATTATTTTTCCCATGATCAGTGAATACAAATTAACAGGTTAGGAAGAAAAAAAGAATTTTTTTTGTTTTTTTTCTTGTATGCGCCTGTGGGTGTCAAATGGTATATAGCCATGCGCCATTTAAGGGTTAACAATTACACAGCACTAGCCTACTGCACTTACTGTACAGTATTTACCTGTAGATAGGACACATGTTTTTGGTCCACCAATAACCCAATATATATTGTATTTACATACACAAAATCTTATTTTTCCCCCACATAGTACCACTTTAAAACTCCTGTCAATAAATGTATGGTGAAACAAACTAAAGTTTTTTATCCATAAAATATCCTTGCATATTAACACTTTATGCGGATCAGGACATAACCTGGAGTCCTGTTTCGCCTACCCGCTTCCGCATTGTGGACATAAAATGATGTCCTGAAAAAAATATTTGTATAAAATTCAATTTTAATCCGATTTACTTTGGGTTTGTTTCAAACTGCGCACCATGAGTCTCTCTTTCTCACCACTAGGCTGCATGGTACAATAAGTTCATGAAACGTGTGGACCACTTTGATCAAATGGGATTACCATTTTACCAGGAAAACTCACAAGTGGACCAAAAAGATAACGTTTTATTTCCTGCAAATGGCATTGCATAATCCCTTTGTTTTGTACAAATACAACACAACTGATCAAAAAAAGCTAACATTGCTCCAGTTCCATGAGGTGGCAATTTGGGCCCTATTGCACTTGGACCCGGAAGATTGGCCTTAAACAGCAACAGTATCTCAACACTTGCGGCACGCTCCAGACATAAATGATGACACAGGTCCTGCCTATGCTGACGCCCTGCAAACTCCCAGACCATCTAGTGTGAGGGGGCCTTTGTTCACTTCAACACCTCAAGCTGAAGCAGCAACTGAATCAGAACCCGCGATGTCTGGCACACTGCCATTTGACGAGACGGTTTTGTCAGATGACTCCGACTCAAATGTTGAACCTCCAGCGATTCAGTTGATTCTGAAAATCGCATGAACTGCAAACTGAAACGAGTATTTTGATACCAGAATGAACACTGTATCACATAAACTGCTGTAAGTAGACTCAAACCTTCAGAGATTTTTTTTTGGATGTAGCGTGTGTCTGCATGAGTGTCCCAAACAGGTTGCAGGTGGGTGACTTTAGCTGTTTATACTGGTAATGCTTCCCCCATATCATGTATTATATGCATATGTCTGTTTAGGGAATTTTATTCCGATCAATGTACAACCAAAAAACATTGTGTGCAACAAGTATAAACTTGACAAATATAACAAGAATAAAAACATTTCGTGTGTGTTTGACGCTCACTGATATGTTCCAGCGTTGTTTTATATTTGGCGCTATTCTATCTTACGCTTTGTTGATATTTTTTACCTACGGGGTTATAGAACATTCTATTGCGAACACATTGGCACAAAAATGAATGACGTACATAGAATAATAATGTCAGGACAGTGAAATAAGTATAAACTTTCAAAGCGCCGTATCGCACATGTGTTGTCGCGTCACCGATACCGGATAACAGTTCCGCCACTTCCCACACTCTTGCGGGTGGGCCACGACCATTATTCTATGTTGATACTGTATTCATATCACCGTGTTGGGAATTTCATTGCGAGTCCATTGATACCAAAATTAACGCTATAGGACAAGTGTGGTGGTGATAACAATCCCAAGTGTAAAAACATTTTGTTACTGTTGGGCGCTCACGGCGAGTCATCTACGTAGTTATTTATTTGGTGCTGGTACCCCTATACGTTTCGTGACCTTTTTTACTGATGTTCTTCTAGAGAATTTTATTGCGGACACATTGGTACCAAAATGAAATACGTAGCGCGAGAACTAAGGTCAGGAGAATAAAAAGAGTATACACATTTTTGTTTTGACGCTTAAGCGACAAAAACGCAGCGCGCACATACCGCTTTTTTTTTAACCTTAGCCGGGCGCGCGAAAGTGTTAAGTGCATCTTATATGACAAGAAATACAGTAAATAAATCTCAACTTGAGCCTACCCAAACATCACAGATACCAATCAGGAAGAATGAGAAGAGGCTTGAGGCAGGGCCCACGGTGTTGATGTGGGTGTTGCCATCTGGTGGCAGTAAAGAGTGGTGGCCGGGAGAGAAAACTGGCAGTTTGCGAGAATCCTACTTGACAGTCCCAGCGATGCCACATAGAATTTTAAGCATTTATGAGTGAACTTTCTATGGTCAATCTGGTATAAATAGAACTTTTCTCCAATGCCTCCCTTTGCACCAGTATGACCCAACACACATTTAAAAAGTTGCATGGTGGATAAATGTAGAATGTCACCCTACTTTAGTCAAGATCCTGTCCAGTGGGACCTTCAGCAATTCTGTCTTACAGAGTATCCAAGAAAACTTGGATACTCTGTATATAAATAAAATATAATATACATTACAATTTTTTTTAAATTTTGCCTACCTTGCATGAAGTAATTTGGCACAACGATCATGGGCATAATCACACGTGGCACTCAAAATTTCACGTAAACCACCTAAAACTCGTCCACAGGCAACTTCCCCCAGTACTGCTTCACCATCTGAACTGCTCCTATGAAAAAAAACAGCATTGAATGTAATGAAACACTATTTTCTGGGTAGAGCCCCAGAGGCCACCCTGGAGCTATTGGACTGATATTAGCTAATATTAGTACGGGGCTTCAGTCATATGGAGCTGTCATGCCTACCGGGGACCACTAGCTAGAACATGGTCCCCTCAGAGAGGAGTGGGGAGACTATAAAACTTCCGAGTATGAAAGTTTCATGTCTGCCATTGACCGGGGTTAGACACCCAGAAAGGTAAATGACCTAAAACGGTCCCCAATGAGTAGGAAAATTGCAACTTGAGACCGAACATAGGCTAGAAACTCCCCCCAAAAGAAATAAGAAAACAAGCAACACAGCATCACACAGCACACCATTCATCACACCTCGGCCGACCGAGCTTGCCACCGGACCATTAGTTCAAAGACTGAATAAACGGAACAAAAATCGCCGACCGAAGGGAGGGAGGGGTGCCAGGGAGCGTCCGGGGGCACATGCCCAGAAAATGGCATTTTATTACATTCAACACTGGTTGTCTGTGAGAAGCCCCTTCGGCCCCCTGGAGCCTACCTGCCCAATGAACAGGAAAAAACAGGGACTTTCCGGGAGGCAGAAAGCACCGCACAACTCAAGACGAGGATTAGAAAACTAGCTGCAAACGCTGACCCAATACAACATAGACCGTTGAAGGCCCTGCATATTAACACGATATCTGACAGCCAGAACCCTGTTCGATCTCCAAAACCCACATGCCTAAATTTTGCCCAAGACATATTACCAAACACAGCAGCCAAAGCTGCAAATTTCTGAACATTATGGGCGAAAGGGTAGAATGCAGGCTGGCTAGACTTAATTACCTTGTGAAAGGTCTTCCAGGTCGTTCACACGACCTGGAAGTGCAGGTCGTTTCCTGTTCCCTGGAACAGGAAACGAGGCAACCGGGTCAACCCAAAGTTCATTCCTGGTCACAGAAGCCGAGGTGTGCAGGTAACAGTGTACAGCCGCAACCGGACACAACACATAATGCACCCCAGGCCTGACCAATCAAGCATCAATAATCCACGGGACCCATCCGGAAGCCCACAGTCTCATTCTCTGCCAGAGAAGAGGGAGACAGCTGCAAACGAACAAAATGTCAACCCAGAACCAAAAGAGCAGAAGCCTCTGCGCCAGAGGAGAGCATGAAGCTCCCCAACCTGACCCCCAGAAGCTAAAGCCAACAAGAACAAAGCGTTCTGGAAATAGTCTTGGACTGAAGGGGCCACCACAAACCGAGGAGAGGAGAGAAAGGAGAGCACCCGGTCCAAAGATCAGGATGGCTCAGGCGGTGCATGAGCAGGCAGGAGGTGGAGAAATGCACAAGAAAACTTATGAAATGGAGCAGAAGTGACATCCACCCTGAACGCAAGCTGGAGCTGCTCCTCCAGTGCCGCATGATACGAGGTGACAGTATTTGGCATAAGATGCCTGTCCTGAAAAATCCAAAAAAAGAAAATTCAACACAACACGAACCGAAACCGAGGACAATCAACTTGGCGAAAGGAAGTGGTGAAAAAAACGCAGAGAGACTTCATACATTCACCAGGAAGAAGACGGCAGGTGGGGCACCATTAGAGAAGCCATATGGTATCACCATATGTGTCACCACACAGATGGTGATACACCAAAAAAGGCTTTCGACAGAGTTCCACATAAGAGGTTATTCTGGAAACTGGAAAATATTGGAGGGGTGACAGGTAAGCTTCTATCATGGATGAAAAATTTTCTGACTGATAGAAAAATGAGGGCAGTAATCAGAGGCAATGTATCAGAATGGAGAAATGTCACAAGTGGAGTACCACAGGGTTCAGTTCTTGCACCAGTGATGTTTATTGTGTACATAAATGATCTACCAGTTGGTATACAGAATTATATGAACATGTTTGCTGATGATGCTAAGATAATAGGAAGGATAAGAAATTTAGATGACTGTCATGCCCTTCAAAAAGACCTGGACAAAATAAGTATATGGAGCACCACTTGGCAAATGGAATTTAATGTTAATAAATGTCATGTTATGGAATGTGGAATAGGAGAACATAGACCCCACACAACCTATATATTATGTGAGAAATCTTTAAAGAATTCTGATAAAGAAAGAGATCTAGGAGTGGTTCTAGATAGAAAACTATCACCTGAGGACCACATAAAGAATATTGTGCAAGGAGCCTATGCTATGCTTTCTAACTTCAGAATTGCATTTAAATACATGGATGGCGATATACTAAAGAAATTGTTCATGACTTTTGTTAGGCCAAAGCTAGAATATGCAGCTGTTGTGTGGTGCCCATATCTTAAGAAGCACATCAAAAAACTGGAAAAGGTGCAAAGACATGCTACTAAGTGGCTCCCAGAACTGAAGGGCAAGAGCTACGAGGAGAGGTTAGAAGCATTAAATATGCCAAAACTAGAAGACAGAAGAAAAAGAGGTGATATGATCACTACATACAAAATAGTAACAGGAATTGATAAAATCGACAGGGAAGACTTCCTGAGACCTGGAATTTCAAGAACAAGAGGTCATAGATTTAAACTAGCTAAACACAGATGCCAAAGAAATATAAGAAAATTCACCTTCGCAAATAGAGTGGTAGACGGTTGGAACAAGTTAAGTGAGAAGGTGGTGGAGGCCAAGACCGTCAGTAGTTTCAAAGCGTTATATGACAAAGAGTGCTGGGAAGACGGGACACCACGAGCGTAGCTCTCATCCTGTAACTACACTTAGGTAATTACCCATGTCAGACGCGAAGTGCAGAAGAGAAGAGCAGAATAGCAAAGTACCTCACTGGTCCGATCTGCTGAAAGAGGCGGAGCTGCGGGAAAACACCCCGGGTTCGGACACCAAGCAAGCAGCGCTTGAAACCAAGGCTGGGCCAGCCCCCATGGGGCCAGAAGGAGAACCCTCCCCAATAGAACTTGAGTTGAACCAGAACCCGAAGCAACAGCTGAACTGGGAGGATGAGGTACAGGTAACCCCACCTCTACCAGCCCTGCCGTAAAGCTCCGCACTCAGAGAAGGGCGCCACATAGACTTGGAAAAGCCTCGATCATAATATGCAAAGAGGTCCACCTCCGGGGTGGCCCCGTACGTCTGGCAGAGCCAACTGAAGGAGTCAGCGTTGACCCGTGCATTCTGTGAACAAGGGAATGAACCACAACAGGCTGTCCGCCAGACATTGGACACGCCCGACACGAACTGCACGGAGAACTAAACCCCAAGAACTCAGCAGAAGAGCCACTCAAAGTGACCATCCTCAAAGACCCAAGGACCACAGAAATCACCTACGCGGTTCAAGCAATGAACCACCGGAGTGCAGTCCGAATGGAGTAGGATCATAGAGCCTCGAGAGAGCTGAATCTGATGCAGTGCAAGCCACACCGCCGCAAACTCTGGCACTGTGCTGTGATCCCGATGGAAGGATGGAGCCCACCGCCCCTGGCTGGCCTGGTGAGCACTGGTCACAAAACCCAAGGCATCCGTGAACACATCAAGCGAGAGTTCAGGGAGGCGCCAAGGCACCAAACCTCAAAAAGCCTGAAGAGAAAGCCGGGGATGCAGCAACCAACACAAGGTCCCCAGGGAAAGAACCCAGCGATCGTGAGAGCGGCAGAAGTGACGGCTCCAAAGAAACCGGAACAGCCGCCACAGCCAAACCCAACTCAATGGCTAAACGATCATGGCGAAGTGCAAACTCCCACACAGCTGCTTGAGTATCCGCCAAGTGACCCGGGACCCCCTCAGGAACAGTTAATGGCGAGACTGCAGCCAGAGCAACGCCGCCTGAGGGAGAGACAAGGACCCTGTCTGGAAATCCCAGACAAGGCCCAGCCAAGGCCTAGGGACTTCCTCCAGTTCACCAGGAACCCGAACCCGGCGAGCTGCGAAAGAACTAAACCCCTAGCCAGCAGACAAGTGGGCTGGCTGGGAGCTCACACCAACCAGTCATCGAGAGAGGCCAACACTCGAACACCTAGCAGACGCAGATGGGCCACTACGATGTGGGGTAAGACGCATGAAAATGCAAGGTGCCAGATTCAGCCCGAAAGGAAGGCAACGAAAGTGGTAAGCCTGCCGCCCCACAACAAAACCTAACCAGTCCCTGTACCCCGGATGAATGGGAATGTGCCAATATGCATCCTGGAGGTCCAGAGACACCATCCATGAACCCGTCTCCAAGAGAAGCCAGACCTGGGACAGAGTGGTCATCTGAAAGGAGGGGTAAGGAATCCAGAGGTTTAGACAGGACAAGTCCAGAATGAACTACAGATCCACACAGTCCCGTTTTGGCACTGGAAACAAGCGGGAAACCCACCTGAGGGACGAGGTCGTTTCCACCACGCCCAAGCGCACCCACTATAAAATGACCTGACGAAGCAAAGGGGAAGCGTGCCCAGCCTGCCCTGAACCCTCCAAAAGAGGAGGAACAACCCAATGCCACTTCAGGCCAGAAAACACAACCTGAAAAGCCCACAAATCACGGGACCAAGTATGGGCAAACAAAGCCAGCCTCCCGCCCAGATAAAGAAGGTTCTGGAACAGACACCGGATCAGAAAATGGCACCAGAGGCCCATCCCAACCAGTAGATACCCAAGCCCTGGCTCGGTTCCAACAAATCACCAACTGGATCACCAGCAAATCCAAAAGGCAGCATCAACTAGCCGAAGCCGTCTGCAAAAACTGAGTCGCCACTGAGTCTGCAAACAACTGCCAACAAAACAGAGATGAAAACCTAAGAGCCAGGGCCCAAGTAGAATCCACGGAGAGAGAGCAAGGGAGGCTTGCTGACACGCGAGGCAAGAGGCATAAAACAGAGACACTGCCTCCGGGAGGACAGGTGCATACAGTTTAAGCAACGTCTCCGACGCCCTAGCTACCGAAGTCAATGCAGCAGACAACGGCCCGAATCTCAACGCCTCTACATTCTCCACAAACCTGACCAAAGACAGCTCAAGGAGGGAAAAGAAGGGAATGACCGAGATCCTCCGCAACCAAAGCACCCAGAACCTCCCCCCCCTCGTAGAAGAACTCTCCAGGTAAACAGAACTCCATGACTGATGTGACCTAGTAGTTGGGAGCCACCTCTGCGAGATAGCTTCAGGGGGCTTCCCAGGAAAGTTCTTTGTGCTGCTGTACTTTCTCACCCTTTCCAGTCTCATCAAAGTAACATGGAACAGTTTGGGTACTCCTCATCAACAACACCTACATGCCCATTTATCCATCTTGATAAAAGACATGACCAACATCATTTCATTTCTGACACGTCGAACTTCCTACAGCCAGATCATATTCTATAATCTGTTACTAATAATGCAATTTTGTACTCCGCACTCCGGTTGACTTCATACAAGTGACCTGCATACAGTATGTGTTCTAGTGCCATAATCAGCTGATTTCATATATTATTTTGATCAGAAATACTCTTTAAGAGGCAAAATATTAAATTAGTTATAACAAGAATAATCTAGGAGAGATGACATACATGGAGACTAGAGATGCAGCTTGGATGCCTTCCGTGACAGGCTTCGTGCGCCCTGCTCCTGCTTCCACAGTCTGCACCATCACTTCTGTTATGCACTGAAAATACCCATTGTTGGTTATGCAACAAAATACAAAAACCAGGGCTAGAAATCTGCTAAAAGATCAATCAATGGTGAGTGGCAGTAATAAGGCACAACTTCGCACACACACAACTTGTAATAAGGCACAACTTCGTGATCCACTGGCAGGACCACCTACTAAATTAATGTAAATGTGTCTGCTATTTTCTCTGGTCGTGTATTTTGTTCAATTTTTACTTTGTTTAGAGAAAATGAGAGCTTCCTGTAATCAACTAGAGACTAATGTTAAAACATGAATATGTTTCACTGGTATACACTTTCTTATATACAAATACTTCATCAAGTTCATTCATCTACTACATCTTTCTTTACTCAACATTATTTCTTAACTATTTCCTTACCCGACAAACACTCTTCCCACTTCATCACATCTTTAGCATTGACTAAACAGTCTACCGTATTACAGTTCTCACGAATAATTCTGCACGTGTTTCAAGTAAGACTCTTCGAATTTAGGAACTTTTAAACATATAATGAAATAAGAAGTGAACAAAATATAATTTTTGATCATAATCTTAGAAAAGTTAGCAGGCAGCATAATACAACACAAAGGTAAATGGCATTAATGATACATGTTCAAACACTACCTTGACTCTGGCGATGACAATGTTGAGCCGTGATGTAACGACTGACAGAAGCGAGAGCCAAGCACCAATAGACAGCACCCGGGCCTGATCTGCAACACTTGCTGTCTCCTGGTCTATCTCCACATTACTCACAGCCTCTACAACACCCTAAACAAAAATAAATACTACTTTTATTCCATAATATACCTCTGTATCATTTTCAACTTCATTCAATTTGTTTACATTCCCAGATTTCACAATATTCAACTTTTAATCACTACTCTCATCTTATTACAAGGGTACCTCGGTTTAAGAGTTTAATCCGTTCCTGGAGACAGCTCGTAATCCGAAAGCTCGTAAACCAAAGCTAATTTCTCCATAAGAAATACGTGTAATGGGAAATGAATTAACCCGTTCCCGACTACCCAAAACCCTCACTTCAAACTAAATTTTATACCTAATTCATCTAAATCTACACTACAAAAGTATGTTCAAGTTATTACTTACCCTTGCTGATGACTGCTGTTGGCGTATGGAAGATGGTGAGGAGGAGGGAGGAGGAGAGGTGTTACTGTTTGGAAGGGAAAGTCCCCTTCCATTATAACATCAGGCAGTGAGGACTTCACTGGTATGCACACACTGGCACATTTTGCCTGCATACCACTAGGACTTGCTTGTTTTACTAAGAATCTCTCTAAAGACACTTGTTTTTCCCTACATTTTAACACTTGTCTGTATTAAGACATCACATTGTCATTTAAAAGGTCAATGCAATGGCCTGCTACACCTTTATCTAGGTGAGTTTTTTCAACAAAACTTTGCAGTTCTTCCCATACATCACACATTTTCTTAATCAAGAAGGGACATCCTCTACTGCCTCTACTCACAGTTATTTTCTTAGGTTGAACCTTACACTGGCTTTCTTGGGACCCATGGCGAGATATGTAATAACTTTTATGCTCAAATGGCCAAAAATTGGACAAAAAAACTGTAAATCCTTGTGAAGAATTCAGGCGGGATAGTCACTGGGCACAAGGCACTGGTAAACTCAGGCACGATCGCCGTGCCACCACGCGCTAATCGGCCTGTACACGTATCAGCACCCTCGTCTTCCGAGGCAATGCTCGTATTCCAATGTAAATTTTCCGAGCAAATCCTGCTCGTATTCCGAAAAACTTGTATACAGGGACACTCGTATTCCGAGATACCACTGTATAAAGAGAAAACTCTCATGCATGCTATTAGTCTGCCTGTCACTACTCTTACATGTTCTAACTTACACCTTGTGAGAGACTATCAAAGGAAGTGTATGAAAAGAGAAAGGGAACAGGCACAGTCTGTACAAAGGGAAAGAGAAAGGACGAAAAAATCACCAAGAAACCTCTTACTGCCCCTGAGAAGAAGCCTGCAGGTGGGACTACCTCAAGCCAGCCACCTGGCTTGATCACCATCGAAATAGCTATAAAGACACATAAAAGAACAGCGCTGAATGTTATGAGACCCAGATCCCGCTAGAAATAAGGAACCACAGGGGAGCAGTCTGAATGGAGCCGGATCACCAAGCCCTGAAGAAGCCGAATCATCTGCAGCACCAGCCACATAGCCGCAATGTAATGTAATGAAGGAAATGAATGAAATGAATCGGTTGCAGATTTCTTTGTAAGCCTACCGGGGACCATAAGCCAGAACCTGGCCCCTTCCAAGAGGCGAAGGGAGCAATGGCCATGACCACATTACATTTAAAGTAGGTCATCGTGCCATCAACCAGGAAAGAAACAAAAAAAACACAGTTGAATGAAATGAAATGCTATTTTCTGCATGAGTCCCGGAGATTCCCCGGAGCTATCCAGGCTGATATGAATATCCCTAACTTTGGCATCAATGTGGGTGGAGTTCTAGGCATACCGGGGACCACGAGCCAGAACCTGGCCCCCTCAGAGAGGCACGAGGAGCAATGGCCTATTGAAATGTACATGTGATTTTGGAGCATTCTATATCTGCCATCGACCGGGATAGCCACCCAGAAAGGTAAGTGCCCCAAAACAAACACCTATTCTGGTTAAAATTATGAAAATAGACAAAAGAGTGGACAAAATTTCCCGAATGAAAATGAGCAAACAAGCATGACGACACACGAGCCGTGCCACACGTCAGCCGCAGCTTCCCCCTCCCTGGAAGGAGGAAGGGGAAGCCCCAGTACCCCCGCGCCGGCAATCCACACCCCAGTTCTGAGGTTGGATATCAAAATACATGAAAATCGCCGACTGGAAGGAGAGAGGGTTGCCGGGGAGTCTTCGGGACTCACCCAGAAAATGTCATTTCCTTACATTCAAAGCTGATTTTCTGCGGGGCGAGCCCCTACGACTCCCTGGAGCTACTTCACCAGAGACAAAAAAAAAGGGAACTAACCTGGGAGGCGGTCAGTGCTCCACACCCCAACTTAAAGTCGAGACAACAGGCTGCAGCTGCCAACCCAAAGTGACACAGGCCTGACTATGCCCAGGAACATTAACAAGGTAGCACGCAGCCAGGACCTAGTTCGACAACCAAAACCCCTGTGCCCGACTGTCAGCCCAGAACTTGTTACCAAAGACAGTAGCAAGAGCAGCAAACTTTACAAACATCATGGGCATGGGGATAGACCGCAGGCTGGCTAGACTTAATAACCCTGCAGACGACATGAAAGACCTGTACCCGTGAACAGGGTAGAAGGGAAACCGGATCAACCGAAAGCGCGTCACCGCACATGAAAGACACAACCAAGACTCGAGGAGAAGATTGAACCAGTCTTGTAACCGGACTGATCTGTTGAAAGAGGCGAAGCCATGGGAAAACCTCCGGGTTCGGACACCGAGCAAGCAGCACCTGAAACCAAGGCTAGGCCTGCCACCACGGGGCCAAGAGGACTACTCTCCCTTGGTAAGTCTCCAAGCGAGCCAGGACCTGAAGCAACAGCTGAACCCGGAGAAGAGTTACAGGAACCCCCACCTCGACCAATCCTGCTGAAACAATCTACCCCGACGGCCCCGCAGTCGGGGAAGGGCACCACATACACCGGAAGACGCTTCGACCAAGCCGACAGGAAGAGGTCCATGTCCGAGCGCCCGAAGGTCTGGCAAAGCCAACTGAATGAGTCGGCGTCGACCGTCCATTCCATGGAGATGGGAACAAATCATGCCAGGCCGTCCGCCAGGAAGTTAGACACCCCCCCCCCCTCCTGAACGTGAACTGCCAAGAAAGCCAAACCCCAAGAACTCAGCGGACGAGTCACTCGAAGCGACCAGCCCCAAAGAGCCAGTCCCTGAACCCTGGATGAATCCGGACGTGCCAATAAGTGTCTTTGAGGTCCAGGGATACCAAGTGCCCAGCTCCAACAGAAGCCAGACCTGGGACAGAGTGGTTATCCGAAAGGAGGGGCAAAAAATCTAGGGGCTTCAGACGGAACAAGTCCAGAATGAACCACAGGTTCACACAGTCCCGTTTTGGAACTGGAAAAAGGCGAGAAACCTACCTGAGAAACATTGTCGTTTCGACCACACCCAAGCGCACCCACTCCAAGACGACCCGACAGCACAGGTGAAGAGGCCTGCCCCGCCAGCCCAGAACCCCCCGAAGGAGGAGGAGGAGCCACCCAACGCCACTGCAGAGCGCGAGAAATGACCCAAAAAGCCCACAACCGTGAGATCAGGCATAAGAAAACAGAGCAAGCCTTCCCCCCATCGCCCTGTCAATGGGGCAAACTGCGAAAGGGACGATGCCCCTTACAAGATCCCGACCTGTGCACAGAGCGAACACCACGCCGACCAGATGCAGACGGTTCCAAAGGCTGCGCCGGCTACGAAACTGGTACATGTGACCTACCCTGACAAGAGGAATCCCTAGCCTTGGCACAACCCCTCCGGAAGACACCCACCCGGAATCTCCATAGAACCAACAAGTCGGACATAGAACGACAACTGGCAGAAGCCCCCTGCATATACTGCTCCACCACCGAGGCATCAAAAAGCAAGGAACAAAAGGGCAAAGAAAACTGAAGCGCCAGAGCCCAAGCGGATTCCAAGGATGAAGTGAGCACAACCTGCCGACACGCGAGAAGCACAGCGAAAAGCAGCAACATTACATCCCGCAGGATCGGCGCAAACGGCTTTAACAGTGCAGACAATGCACGAGCAGCCGAGACCAAAGCACCAGACCCAGGAATGGCCCCAAGCTCCTCCACATCCTCCGCAAGCCAATCTGAAGACAGCTCAAGGAGGGAAAAGAAGCGTAAGACCGAAGCCAGCGAGCCACGAGCCGGCAAGTCCTCAGCAGCAATCTCAGTCGAGAGGGATGGAACCTGCATGTGAAGCTGCATCACGCCAACAACCCGCAGAAGGGCAGGAGCGAAGAGACACTAATTATAGTGCTCAAACTTGTCCCCCCAGGTAAACCTGGACCACAGTCAACGCCTCACGCCACTTAAGCATGCGGGCACGGCAGAAAGTGCCCCAAGCATTCAACGACAACAACGGGCAGTCCACAAGTCAGGACAACTCCGGAACCTCATAACGAACTTAGTATGGAGACGAAGATCCAAACCTGAATGACGACAAATCCATTATAAAGGCATATTCCGGGTCGCGCAGGAGGTAAGCCAAAAACCTCCGGAAGGACGGAACCGAAGGACCAGCAGGGACACGGAACCAAGCCCGGGGAGGAGCCGTACCCAAATCCAAGTCGTATGCAGAGGGATGTGGGGGAAGAATGGTTCTGACTGGCTGCCACATAACCGAGGTAGTGAAATGGTTGAAATGAAAATCTGGAACGAGTGATGCGAATATGAAAGGGTTTAAGGAGAGCAGGGGATGGTCCTCCTAAACACTCACCACCTCTTCCTCCTTCCTTCTCACCCTCCCTATACACCAACATGGCTCCTCCCTTCCTCCTCCATCCTCCTCACCATCTCACATATGCAACAAAAAAGAGTCCTCAGTAAAGGTAAAGTGCAGTTAAATGTTCATTTATTTTATTGTTTATATTTATACCCGATTGTTTTGTGTATGAAAAATATGAGTAGTATTCTGTATAGTATGTATTTTTAAGTTAATATTTTTGAGTGTGTGGAATGCATTAATTCAATTTAAATTATTTTTTATGGGAAATTCGTTTTGGTTTACGATTTTTTGTTGTAAGATGCCTCTCTCAAAATGGATTAGGGTCGTAAACAAAGGTACCACTGTACTGAATTATAAATTCTTAAATAAAGCACTCAGTTGCCAGATATACAAGAAGAGTCAAACATCATGCACACACTGCAACACTTCACAAGACTTATACCCCACACTGTGAATTTTATTTTATCTTAAAGATTGTAAAATTACAAAGTCAATGCAATACTGTAACTTACCTGCTTGACAGTGGCTTTTATTGTAGTATATATCTCCTCTCTAAGATTATCTAAAAACTCAAATTTGTTGAGCCGAAGTACTCCAAATACTACAGCAATTAAGTGATCCTGGAAAGACAATATATTCAAATCATAATTTACCCATTTTTTTCCCATGACAAAAAAATTCATAACAGATATATTTAAAATTGAGTGCATGTCTGAAGGTTGCAAAAGTTGACTATTATATCACACATAAGCCCCAACATAGCAGTTGTCAAGAGGGTTCTATGTAACTAATAGTGACATAACATCAAAGTGGCTACAGTTAAAAAACCGGCATTCAATGTAATGAAACGCCATTTTCTGGGCGAGCCCCGGAGGCTCCCTAAAGTTATCCAAACTGACTTGTGCCTGTTAGTTTGGGGTCATCATTCCCGGGAGTTCTAGTGCCTACCACGAGCCAGAACTTGGTTCCCTCAGAGTGGCGCATGGAGCAATGGTCATTATGAACACTCTACATTTAGAGTATGTCATGTCTGCCATCAACCAGGGAGGGCACCCAGAAAGGGAGGCAAAACAATACAGACTCTCAACTGGTAAAAATGGCAAATAATTTTTTTGCAATTGAATAAAGGGTGTCAGGGAGCCTCAGGGGCTTGCCCAGAAAATGGCTTTTCATTACATTCAACGCTGGTTTTCTGTGGGGAGCTCCGTTAGCTCCCTGAAGCTAACTACCCATAGATAAGTAAAAGAGGGACTTACACAGGAGGCACAGCACTGCAGATCTCAAAACAAAGACAAGACACTAGGCCGCAACAGACGTCCCAAAGCAATACAAGGCCTGAGAGGGCCCGGAACGTTCACAGGACACCTGGCGGCCAGGACCCTGATCGACCTCCAAAACCCCCGTGTTTGAATGTCGACCCAAGACATATTACCAAAAAGAGCAGCCAGAGCAGCATACTTATGCACGTCATGGGCACGAAGCTAAACCGCAGGCTAGCTAGACTTAATTATATTGCAGACAACCTGAGAAACACGAGCCCCAGAAAAAGGAACAAAGGAAACTGGATCCACCCAGAGAGCAGTCACGGACACGGAACCAGTAGCCAGCAGGTAGCAACGTAAAGCTGCTACTAGGCATAAGACATGTTGCACCCCCAGCCTAACCAACCAAGCATTCACAACCAACGGACCCCTCTGGAAATCAGCCGTTTCAGTCTTTGCCAGGAAAGAATGAGAAGGCTGCAAACAAACATAACGCCCACCGGGGCCAAAAGAGCAGAAACCCCTGCTCCAGAAAAGAGCATGAAGCTCTGCAACCCAACCCCTCTTAGAAGCCAAGCCAACAAAAGCAAGGCTTTCAGAAAACGATCCCGAATCAGAGGGGCCCCAACAAACGGAAAGAAGGAAGGAACAGAGATCACCAGGTCCAAAGACCAAGATGGCTCAAGCGGCACATGAGCTGGCCAGAAGTGAAAAAAAAATCACAGGAAAGACTGCAGAATGGAGCACAAGTGACATCAACCTCGAATGCAAGCTAGAGCAGTTCCACCAAAGTTGCAAGAGAAGAAGTGACAGTATGCAGTAGGAAATGCTGCTCCAGAAAGAAACAAGATGGAACAAAACCACCATCATAGATACAGACAACACTCTCTGAAAGGAAAGGAAATGGCAGAAAGACTGCCAGGAGACTTCAAACTGTCGCTGAGACGAAGACCGAAGGTGGGACACCAACAAAGAAGCCACTTCATCACCATACAAGTGGAAATACAACAGTCAAAAAAAACAGACACAAAGAGCAGAAAAGTAAGTCGAACCAGAAAGGAACCCTCACTGGTCCAACCTGCTGAAAGAGTCAGAGCCATGGAAAAGATTCTTGGGTTCGGACACTGAGCATGCACCGCCTGAAACCATGGGTGGACTGGCCACCATGGGGCCAGGAGAAGCACCCTTCCCTGATAAGATTCAAGCCGAGCGAGAAGCAACAGCTGGGCCAGGGGATAAAGGATACAGGAACCCCCCACCTCGACCAGCCCTGCCAGAAAGCATCTACAGCGATGGCCTTGCAGTCGAGGAATGGTGCCCCGAATAATGGGAGACACCGAGACCACGTTGACATGAAGAGGTCCACCTCAGGGTGCCCGTACATCCGACAAAGACAAAAAAAGGACGTTTGATACTCCCTGAATATAATATAAATGGCTCAGAAAGCTAAACCCCCGAGAACTCGGCAGAAGAGCTACCCGAAGCGACCAGCGCCAAATAGCAATGGACCACAGAGACCCTCCCCAGTTGAGACAATGAAAAACAGGGGGTGAAGTCCAAATGGAGTTGGATCACAGAGCTCGAGGAAGCTGAATCCACCGCAACACCAGCCACACAGCTGCAAACTTCCGCCCCGAGCAGTGAGGTCGACGGAAGGACTGAGCCCAACGAACCTGGCTGAACTGGTGAGTTCTGGTCACAAAGCCCCAACCAAGAAATGAGGCAGCCGTGAACACATCGAGCACAAGAAAGAGAAGGTGCCATAGCATAGAACACCGTAAACCTCGAAAAGGAAGCCGGTGACTCAGCAACCGACGTAAAGACACTAGGGGTGCGAACCCAGTGGTCACCAAAGGCGCGAAAGGGGCTGGCCCGAAAATACCAGAATAGCTTCCTCAGCAAAACCCTGACCAGCGGACAAACCAGCATGGCAAAGGTCAGGCTCCCACACAGCTGCTGGAGCAATTGCCAAATGACCCGGGACCCCTCCCTCAAAAACAGCTGAAGGCAGGACTGCATGCAACCAGAGAAATGCCACAGGAAGAGAGATGGACACAGTCCGCGAATCCCACACAAGCCCCAGCCAAGTCCGAACCCGAGACGAAACGAACTGGGACTTCTCCCAATTCACTAGGGACACTCGCTGCCATTGCTAGCTGACTGCACACGGTTTTGTTCCCTGGAAAACTTAAGCTTTTGAGCACCCATCAGCTCAAATCATCACAAATTTTGTGAGGAAGAACACATTAATATTCCAAGACAGAGAATATCTTGTTTAGAAGAAAACAATACTGTATTGAATTTGTCTACAAATGATGGACAAACAACGTTGTTGATTAGCTGTTGTCCAGCTGACTGGTATTCTGTGCAACCCAGTATGCAGGTGACCCAAACTGTTGTACAGTACTCGTCGCCCATACCTTTTTTTTTTTTTTTTTTTTTTTTGAGGACCATATCACAGAGTCCTACTCTGTGATATGATCCTCAAAAATATCACAGAGTAGGGTGAGGCGATACCCTGCGGGCATCGCCACAAGTGGGCACCTTAGAAGGTGTTCAAAGCCTTACAGGGAAAGGTAGACCAAACTGCTCAATTAGGTGTTAGGTATCCCTGATTCCACCTGAAGGAATCATTTTACAACCTCCGTTGGAGGGAAAAATGAATTTCTCCAGGCCTAGGAATGTCTCAGGCATTAGGTAGGGCAGTGAATCGGTCCTTACTACGTGGAGACATCATGGGAAAGTCAAAGAAAAAGAGGCAATGGAGGCAGCTTTCAGACGAGGAGGGACGGTGGACCGATGTGCACCAGGCACTGAAGAAAACTGCTATCGAGGCTTCACCACTTGCTTCTACCAGCAAGACAGCAGACGTAATGGACCTAGAGAGGACAGCATCAGTCACACACCAGCCAATGTCTGACAATGCTTCTCTGTCCACAACCCAGCCACAAGACGACAGTATGAGACAGGAGAGGACAGCACAAGTCACACACCAGTCAGTGTCAAACAGTGTTGAGGGAGGCAGGGAGAGGGTTAGTGTTGAGGGAGGCAGGGAGAGGGTTAGTGTTGAGGGAGGCAGGGAGAGGGTTAGTGTTGAGGGAGGCAGGGAGAGGGTTAGTGTTGAGGGAGGCAGGGAGAGGGTTAGTGTTGAGGGAGGCAGGGAGAGGGTTAGTGTTGAGGGAGGCAGGGAGAGTGGTTGTGTTGAGGGCAGGCAGGGAGAGGGTTAGTGTTGAGGGAGGCAGGGAGAGTGGTGTTGTTGAGGGAGGCAGGGAGAGGGTTAGTGTTGAGGGAGGCAGGGAGAGGGTTAGTGTTGAGGGAGGCAGGGAGAGGGTTAGTGTTGAGGGAGGCAGGGAGAGGTTAGTGTTGAGGGAGGCAGGGAGAGGGTTAGGTTAGGGAGGCAGGGAGAGGGTGTTGAGGGAGGCAGGGAGAGGGTTAGTGTTGAGGGAGGCAGGGAGAGGGTTAGTGTTGAGGGAGGCAGGGAGAGGGTTAGTGTTGAGGGAGGCAGGGAGAGGGTTAGTGTTGAGGGAGGCAGGGAGAGGGTTAGTGTTGAGGGAGGCAGGGAGAGGGTTAGTGTTGAGGGAGGCAGGGAGAGGGTGGTGTTGAGGGAGGCAGGGAGAGGGTTAGTGTTGAGGGAGGCAGGGAGAGGGTTAGTGTTGAGGGAGGCAGGGAGAGGGTTAGTGTTGAGGGAGGCAGGGAGAGGGTTAGTGTTGAGGGAGGCAGGGAGAGGGTTAGTGTTGAGGGAGGCAGGGAGAGGGTTAGTGTTGAGGGAGGCAGGGAGAGGGTTAGTGTTGAGGGAGGCAGGGAGAGGGTTAGTGTTGAGGGAGGCAGGGAGAGGGTTAGTGTTGAGGGAGGCAGGGAGAGGGTTAGTGTTGAGGGAGGCAGGGAGAGGGTTAGTGTTGTTGAGGGAGGCAGGGAGAGGGTTAGTGTTGAGGGAGGCAGGGAGAGGGTTAGTGTTGAGGGAGGCAGGGAGAGGGTTAGTGTTGAGGGAGGCAGGGAGAGGGTTAGTGTTGAGGGAGGCAGGGAGAGGGAGGCAGGGAGAGGGTTAGTGTTGAGGGAGGCAGGGAGAGGGTTAGTGTTGAGGGAGGCAGGGAGAGGGTTGGTGTTGAGGGAGGCAGGGAGAGGGTTAGTGTTGAGGGAGGCAGGGAGAGGGTTAGTGTTGAGGGAGGCAGGGAGAGGGTTAGTGTTGAGGGAGGCAGGGAGAGGGTTAGTGTTGAGGGAGGCAGGGAGAGGGTTAGTGTTGAGGGAGGCAGGGAGAGGGTTAGTGTTGAGGGAGGCAGGGAGAGTGGTTAGTGTTGAGGGAGGCAGGGAGAGGGTTAGTGTTGAGGGAGGCAGGGAGAGGGTTAGTGTTGAGGGAGGCA